AACAGAAGGGTTGAGAAGCTCAGGAAAGGTTTTCAACATTTGTCCAATGGTGGATCTAAGCAGGGAAATGAGGACTGAACCAGGATGGGTCCCTGGGTCACAGTAGAAATGAGAGGTTCCCAGAGCTGGGGGCCACACGAGGCAACAGGGCACATGGGGTGGGGGGTGGATTAGTCACCCCCACCCCATCAACCCCGATGAGTGACACCCATGGCCACAGAGGACCAGGCATCCCCTGCTCCACACATACCATCTGCCCATAAACAGTCTCTGGCCTCAATATGCTCATCTGTAAAATGGGAATGCTGATGACTGGACCTGTCCCAAGATGACTGTGATCCCTCAGGCTACTTTGCCTGAGGAATGCCCTACCTGCCTTTCCCATCTCTCACCCTGTATTTCCTCTTTTTTCCTTATAGACTTGGACCCTGGGGAAGCAGGCTCTGGGCAGAAATGGAGGAGGTGGTGAGGAAAAGAGAATTCTCTCAAGAGTATCAGTCCTCTTGGAAACTTCTAGGTTTAGGGATGGTCTCCTGTCTCCTTAACTCCTGATATCTAGGTAGACAACTGAGACATAAAAGCTTGTGGGAAAATCCTGAGTGACAAGCAGGGTATGTCACCAGGGGAACAGGCAGCTCCATATGAAGAAAAGGAGGGCCCCTCCCTATACCAAAGACAATTAAAATGGGCCCAAGTCAAATATTACCTATCTTCAAGCCCATAAGGATTGGATGGAGAAGCACAGACCACCTGGGTTCAAATCTCAACTCTGCTGTGTGACTTTGGGCAAGTCTCCTAACTGCTCTGGGCCTTGGTTTCCTTCCACAGCTGTTAACATAGGAATAATAAATTTACTTACCTCATGGGATCATTGTGAGGATTAAATGAGTGAATACAGATAAAAGGTTTGAAAGGAATCTGTGCATTAATAGCTACTAAGTTTTGTAGTCATTCCGTTAGACATTTGGTAATGTGAATTTGGGGGAGGGGAGTGGTTCTTTCATATTTCAGAATCGATAAAATTCTTTCAGGCCTCAAAATCTTTTTGAGAGCCTTTGAAAAACTCACAGGCTTGAAATCTGTAACCCAGGGGCCTGATGAACAGCTAGACATGGGGACAGAGCCCAGAGCCTTCCCCTGCACAGTCCTCAGCCCGTGGAGTTAGTCCTCAGAGTTTCCCCTCCACACTTGGGGGTCTCTCTACAGCCTTTGCTGGCCCCACATCAGCAGGGTCCAAGGTGGGATCCCAGCCCTGCCCAGCTGCAGCAGAAGGGTACCCAAGGCGTATTGGAATGCTAATTCCAGCGCTCAGCAAGAGGGTCCCTGTGTGGGGAGGGAACAATGCCTGTCTTTATCCCACCAGCCACTTCAGCTTCCAGGCTCCTCACGCCGCCCCGTGGGAACCTCCAAGCTCCCCACTTAATCGCCCTCTTGGCCGACATCCCTCAGGCTGGAGGACAAGTCAGTACCACAGGGATGAGATGAAACGTCGCCATCCATCCCTCAATGGGGACCTGGGAGAGCATCAGGATGACCCGGCCCCACCAGGACCCCCAGCCAGCTCCTGACACAGCCCCCAGGCCCAAGGAGAGGCCCTTACCAGTTGTCTCGGCATCTAAAAAAAGAATGTCCCCAGAGTTCCATCAGTTCGACCGCGGAGAGGCCCCGGAGCTCAGACACCAGTGACAGGAACAGCTCTGCAGCCTGGAAAGCCGAGGGGACAGTGGGAGAGGCCCGACCCCCAGGGGTCACCTCATCCACCCCCATCCCCACCTCCAGACACCCCTGCAGAGAAGGTGGGAACAGCGCTAGTATCTTTTTTTTTAATGGATAATGGTGGCTATTAAACACTATAGTTTCCAGCCCATCAGCCACCCTTTTATTTCAAAATATCTATACTTACAGTATGTCAGATTTTCACTCTTGCCAGCTATTTAAACTTCGGCTGAAGTTTTTCAGATATAACAGAAACATGTTTGAGGAAGTCCATCATTGCACAGAATTTTTTTCTTAAACAGGATGTGGGGTTTGGGGGTTTTTTTGTTTTTGTTTTTCTGGTGGGGTGGTAATTAGGTTTATTTTCTTTTTAACGGAGGTACTGGGGATTGAACCCAGGAGCTCATGGGTAGTAAGCACGCGCTCTACCACTGAGCTATACCCTCCTCCCAGTGCTGGTATCTCCTACCTACTGTGTCTTAGACCCAAAGAGAAGAGGCTGCTCGTTCGGGGCTTCTTTCCACTGAATCCCAAGCCCCTGGCACACAGGCTGGCCCATTTTTATTCTTTAACAAGCTTTTATCAGGTACCTACTGTGTGCTAGGCATGCACTGGGGCTAGGGACATGGGGGTGAAAAGAGACATGGTATCTGCATTTGTGGGCTTCACACTCTAATAAAAGCTCAGTACATACTCACTGTGGTTGTAATTTGGCTATTATGATGAGTAAGCACATTTCACAAAGCCAGTGAGGTGGCAGTCTTTTCTGGTATTTTTTAATGAAAAAAATATGTAAATGCTTTTTAGAATTAGTAACAGTGACAGCTACTGAACAGAGGTTGGCCCCTGGTCTGCAAATCTGACCAGCACAGTCACCCAGTGTCCAAAAACTCACAAGGAAATAAAGGACTCTATTCAGAGCCTGTACCTCTCGGGTTTCAGGAGATAGCTGTTTTGAGATGCAGGCCACATGCCCTGCCTTCCCTTCCTAGGGCCTCTTCAGTCTCAGACTCACTGCCTTGGCCTGAACCCAGAATCACAGAAAGAGTGACAAGGTCCTGGCTCCCTACTGGCAGCCCCCAAGCTCCCCTCCACCACTCACCCCCCATCCAGGGGTCCAGTGAGGCTGGGAGGGGCTTGCCTCATCTCCGGCCTCCTTGGCTCAAAGGAGCTGGGACCGAGTCTCTGGGCACACAGCTTGACCTCAGCAAGACGTAAGTGTGAAACAGGCCCCTCAACCAGCCAGCATGGCTCACCCATCCTACCCTCCAGCAAGTCTGTTCCCAGGGTTTGGGCAGTATCCCTATCGTGTGCCTTCTGCCAGTGGAGCAGATAGGGATCCTTAATTCTGCCTTTACTTCCTCGTGCAGGACACACAAGCCAGCTCCCTGTATGGACTTACTGCCACCATCACAGTGGCCCTGACCACCGCCGGCCTCAAAGACTTTCAGCCATCCCAGTTTGAGGCAACTACCCACCTTCCGGAAGGACTCAGCCACATTTCCCTCCAGCTAGTGGCTGCCTTTACCTGGCATCATCCGTGATTCCCTAGACTTGGAACGCACGTGCTTTTAAGATCTCCAGCAAGTGTGCAGCAGCTGGGCCTGGCTGGGCATCCTCCCGCCTGGGGAGAGCCAGGCATCTGCCCGGGAGCACACCTCCTGCTCTGGGAGGCCTCAGGCCACAAGTGTTGGCTTCAGGACTAGCTTTCCCCAGCCAGGCACAGCGGGAGGGATCAGGGCAGCTCATCCCGAGAGGCTCTCGGGATGGAGGAAGGTCAGGGCTCCTGCCTCCTGGGTGAGGAGCCTGTCACTATCATCGCCATTAACAGCAGCCACGCACAATGGTAACAGTAACTATAACAACAGTGGTGACTTTGTGTGGAGCCTCGACTGGGTGTCAGGCACTGCTTTAGGCGCTTTACAGGCACCATCTCATGTGACATTCACCACACCGTATGAAGAGGGGCTGGCATTATCCCCACTTGACAGAGGGCATGAAGTCAGGTGTCAGCGGCCACACAGCTAAGTGGCAGTCGAGACCAGAACCCACACCCTTAACCAGGGTCCTACACTTCAGGCCATGAAGGAAAAAAAGAATTCCTGATTTGCAGCGTTTGCCAGTCTCCGTGGCATGATTACTCGCACTGCGGCCGGTCTCCAGCCGCCCAAGAGCTCTCACTGAACGCAGATGTGGGAATTGCTGCGCAGAAGCACAACATCTGTCATATTTCCACCCTAGGGGACATGCAGACGACCTCCAGGGCGAAGACAACAGTGTAGTAAAATGACCAGGTAGTGACGATTTTGAGTGCTCATCCCCTTTGTTTCTAGTATGATTCATTTTCATTGTGAGTCAGTCTAATTTAATCTTTAGTAATGTCTGTTTAACAACCAGCCTGCAGGACTCCTGGAAATTTAACCATCAGCTCTGGCAAGTCGGTGCAAGCCAGCTCTGGCACGCCACTGTCCACACCGTCCCTAATGTGCTTGGCTGTGACTTGGGTGTTCTATTCTGAGCAGCCCAGATGGTGGTCATGAGCCGTGCCCTCCCCCAGGCACCCTCCCTGGTAGCCGGGGGAGCCGACCCGCCTGCCTCTCTCTGTCTCCTCCATCATTCCGTCAGGCTCTTGGCCATCCCACCCCACTGCCCCCCTCGTTGAAACACCAGGGCCTGTCTGTGGAGGGTCAGGCTGGGGAATTTGCTGTCTATTGAATGCTGAATCTTGGTTTTTGTTTCCTGGCTGAAAAAACCAATCTTGTCTCCTGCCCACCAACAATGGGGAGGGGCGAAGGCATTCCCAGCTGAAGCCCACGGGTCGGTGTCCCCGGTAACTGGCAGGCCCTCAGCCCTCCCGGGGGGCCGAGCTGCTGCTGGATGTGCACTCAGGCATTCCTGAAAAGCCATTTTCAGGAAAAAGGTCCTCAGCAATTCACCCCCCGCCCAGGGGACCTCCCCGGTGGAACAATCCACTTCCCTGTTAGTGCTCTAAGTACAGGACAGCCGCCCGGCGCCCTCTGGGGCTGGCACTGCCAGTCTCCGGGAGGGCATGCCTGGCCCTGAGCCACCTCTGCCAGGGGAAATGCCCGGTCAGGGGACCAGACGGTGGGGGCTATGGGGACCAGGTGGGAGGAAGAGGGCCTGGCCTGCAGCTTCCTGGCATTTCGTGAGGTCCGGCAGCACCACAGTTAGAACACAGGCTGGAGAGCAGTGGTTCTCAACGGGGGTGACCGTGCCCTCCAGAGGACTCTGGCAATATCTGGAGACACTGTCACGGCTGGGGTGGGGATGATGCCGGCATCTGGTGGGGAGAGGCCATGGGTGCTGCTGAGCATCCGACAGTGTCTGGGGTGGCCCCAGGAGCGCCAGGGTGACAATCTCTGCTGTGGGCCAGCCGGCCAGCCTGGGTTAACAGCCGGCTCTGTCACCCACTGGCCAGTGGCTTGGAGCGCCACCTCACCAGGCCGTCAGCCCTTTCCTTTGGGCTGCTCTCTGACTCCCATGGGGCTCCCTGAGCAAAGCCCACAAGATCAAAAATTTGAGAGAGCAGTGAGCTAGGGCCTTGGCTCCTAGTCACAGAAACAGTGAAGCCAGCTGCAGGCATGCCTCTGCTATATGTACACAAAATGAACAATGTATGTGTGTACGTGTGTGTGTTCAATATGCATTTGATATACACATACATTCTATGTTCAATATATATTATATGTATACTCAGAGAATCAATAGATACACCCAATATACATATTCAATATATTACAAAATCAATATATTATATACATATTCAATGTGTTTTATATATTTTTTTCAATGTATATCTGAATCTGACCTTCTCCCCACCCCTCTGTGACCTCCCGAGACCAAGCCTCCATCTCCTATCTGCATTACCGTAACAGCCTCTTAACTGGGTTCCTAGCATCCCACCCGGTCCTCAGTCTATGCTCCACCCTCAGCCAGAAGGTGAGCGCTGTAATGTACCTCGGAGGGCAAGCTCCCTCCTCTGCACAACACCCACCGAGGCTCCCCATTTATCCTGAGCAAAAGTGACCTGTGTGCTCCACTAAGGGAGTGACCCTGTCCCCTCACCCTCCCCAGTCTCCTCCAGTCACATGGGCCTCCTTGTCACTCAAAGTCGTGCTCAAACTCACGGTGCAGCTCCTGCCCTGCAGCATGTGCTGGGCCTCCCCTCTGCCTGGGCCTCCCCACCCAAACCCACACGCCTCACTCCTCACCTCCTTCAGAGCTTTACTCAGCATCACCTCCCCGGTGAGTTCTTTCCAGGCATCCATCATTTTAAATGTATCCCATGCTACCCCCACTCTGCCCTCTTTACCCCTATTCTCTGCTCTACTCGTCTCCCCAGCCCCCTGGGGGGCTCAGGACCCCGGGTGCACTGTGCACCCATCTCTGTTTCCTGCAGTCGAGTAGGACACAAGGGTCTGTGCCATTCCAGCCCAGCCCCCCAAGGGACCGAGGCTGACTGACTACCCCAGTCAGGATGCCTCCCGCCCATTCTCTCCAAGTTTCTGAACAAAATGCTTTGCCTCACACAGGCAGCACCACCAGCAAGGGCCTCCGGTGCTGAGAATTCCAAAGGGAGGCACTTCCAGCACTAAAGTCACTCCCGGATCTGAGGCTGCGGCTGGATGGGCACTGGCCTCTCAACATCCTTCTCCACTGACTCTGCGTGAGAAACACAAAGCTTTGCACCCAGATGCCTGTTCTCGGCACAGACCTGCCAGGCCAGAATATGGAGGGTTGCGGTCTGGGTATCTGTGTATCTGAGAAGCCCCCTTTCCCAAGTGCTGCCGGGAAAACAGAGCTTCCAGATGGTAGGGGGGCACCTGGCACACCTGGCAACACCTGTTACCATGCCGAGAACCGGGGCTGCTGCCCAGCATTGTCCACACCTGGAACAATCTATTTCTGTCCAGCTGGGCACATAACAGCCCCTAAGTCCTTGGTCCTATGAAAGCAGCCAGTGAAACAGGTATTTATAAATCTGCAGCATCCCAAATAAACAAACAAGTATATTTGGAGCCCTCCCAGGCTGTTGTGGGATTAAAGCAAAGACACCCCATTCTTCTCTCCTCGGCCCCCAGTTCCTGGGGCTTCAGTCCCAAAAGCCCCAGCATCTTTAATGCCTTCTGGGAAACGCCACAGTTCTCACGCTGAAGTCAGGAGCAACGCTGAGATGGGCAGAAATAGTGGATGCGGTGAAAGTCCCCAAAATGCCACTGGTGCCATCCAGCCCTGAGCTGTGGACGGCAGGGATGGTACATAAAAGATTGCTATGTGGCAAGGATGTTCTGGAAGGGATTATGAGGCCCTGTAGGGGCTGGCCCCACTGGTCCTCGGTGTCTAGCTCCAGCCTGGCTGGGCTGCCTGCTCCCCAAACATACCCATGAGGTTCAGACTCGGGACTTTGGCTCACTCCTCCCCTAGATGCTCAAGGGACCACCCCAGGTCTCAGTTGAAGCGTCTCCTGCTAGGCCCCTGGTCTAAGGCGTCCACTCAGCCACATCCCTGCTCTGTTCTCCTCACCTCGCTCATCCAGCTAAAACCCTCCTCCATGTGCCGTGATTATCACCCGTCTCCCCTAGGCTGGATTTTATGCTCCAGGAAAGCAGGGACTGTCTGTGTCTCATTATCATAAGGGCCAACTGAAGAGTTCACACATTGGGCAAACCAACCACCCTGGGTGCTGCCGATGGGAACATCGTTCCTATGAACGTGGAAGGTCCTACCAGGAGGGCAATGTGGGGAGGCAGGCTCCACGCGGGGCCCCAGTGCATCATTTTCTTTCCCTAGGGAGGGTGCTAAGACTTCCTCCTGGGCGCTCCTCTTACACACAAGTGGAGGGCTTGGTCTCAGGACAAAACAGGCAGGGAGAAGCACATAACAGCCCAGCCTTGGCACTCTCAGAACCACAGTCCTCAGTCACAGAGCAGGAAACCAGCCAGATGTCTCAGAGCCTTCTGAACCTCTCCGAGCCATGAGACCTCCCCATGGTGTCTTCCCCTTGACTCTAAACAGTTGAGCATCCCAGGGAAGGCCTGGCCCGTGTGTTTTTTGACTTGGTGGAAAGTTGTCAACGCTGAGGCTTGGGTACAGCTAGAGATTTCCTGAGAGATCTCCAGGACAGGGCAGGTTCAGAGCGTTAGACTGGGGGCCCAACAGGACTGTTTGCCCATAGACAGACAGATGAGAAAAAGGTCTCCCCCAGGCTCACCTCCAACCTGCAGTGGGTCACACACCAGCCAGATTTCTTCCCCTTCTTTGCTTTCACAACTAGGCACAGTTGTGCAGTGTACAACCTGCCCAACTGTACACAGCAGCCCTGATACTGAACACCTGAGAGAGTAGACCATAAAGAATCTGACAGGAAGAGGACGGTGTCCCAGGGACCCAGGTCCTGGGCAGATCCTGGCCCAGGGCTGGAGAAGCCACTTACCTCAAAGCTTGTGGTCTGAGCCAGGCACAGCTTCCTCACTGATGCAGCCACTGTGGCCACCGTAGCCTGGGACAATGTCTCCTCCCATTCGTACAACAGGCTGCTCAGGGTTAAGTCTCCATCATCTGGGTCTGAGATGGGAAGTGCTAGACAGGGACAACCACATGTCACAGTGAGTAGAAGGATCCCCGAGGGCCACCCCAACACCCTGCCAATGCTTCCATCAGTATGTTTTGGGTAACAGGGGAGGGGGACCTGCCCAAGGAAAATCATAGCAGTGTTACTGCTAACAGCAAAAGACAGGAAACAACCTATGTATGCTAACTAAAAACTGGCACTTGCCATCTGCCTCTACAAGGATTGGATCATGTTTGCCCTTGCCATCCAACTCTGCTTGGATTAATTCATGAGCCACTGCAGCCGCTGATCTCCAACACTCCCTGAAAGGAGTTCAGGATGGAGATCAGGAATGAGGGGGCTCTGTGCTCTGGGAAAACTGGCTGAACGGGCCTTCAGATAGTTAAATATTTTCATGAAAAGATTTTTATGATCCCAATTCTTGCGTCTCCTCATATCTAGAAAAGCACTAAAATCATTAACGGTGACATCTGCTCCTCGTGACTAGCAGCAGGCCTCTGCCTAAACGTGTTCTTGACTGCACGTCCTCCCTTCACTGAAGTCATTTATAATACTGAGTCCTCCCCCTGCCTCTTTGGAGCAGTTTCTCAGAGCTTTCTGCGATGCTGTCTCCCGGGCTATAGTCCTCATTTTGCCCCAAATAAAGCTTAACCCACAACTCTCACACTGTGTGATTTTATTTCAGTTGACAGTACTCATCAGTAAGGGATGGCCAAATAACCATGGCCAAAGTCCTCTTGGGATTGACAGAGAAATCATGAAAACCTCACCTACACAATGGAAGATTAATCAGCAATAAAAAGAAATGAAGTCCTTTACTTACAAACCGGAAATAGATCCAAAGACACAGAAAACAAACTATGGTTCCCAAAGGGGAAAGGGCTGGGAGGAGGGATAAATTAGGAGTTTGGGGTTAACACATACACACTACTATATATAAAAGGGATAAACAACAAGGACCTACTGTAACTCAGGGAATTATATTCAATATCTTATAATAACCAACAATGGAAAAGGATCTGAAAAGAATATATACGTATACGTATAACTGAATCACTTTGCCACACACCTGAAACTAACACAACATTGGAAGTCAACTATACTTCTATAGAAATTTAAAAAAAAAAGAAGTTCTGACACATGCTACAACAGAGATGAACTTTGACAAAATTATGGGAAGTGAAAGAAGCCAGACATAAAAGGTCACACACTGTGTGATTCTATTTACATGAACTGTCCAGAACCGGCAAATCTATAGAGGCAGAAAGTAGATCAGTAGTTTCCAGAGGCTGGGGGAACAGGAGGTGATGGCAAATGGGTGTAAGGTTTCTTTTTGGAGTGATGAAAATGTCGTAAAGTTGATTGTGACAACAGATGCACAACTCTGACTATCCTAGAAGTCACTGAATTGTTCACCTGAAACGGATGCACTGCACTGTATGTGAATTACATCTCAATTACAGCTATTTAAAAAGAAAATGAAAAGCTCACTCAACTCAGTGGGGAACCACCAGGTCCTGACACTAGATGCCCCAGTGGCTGCTAGTATCTGTGCCTGAAGGGAGGCTCAGTGGGCAGGTCAGCCCGGGAGCTCAGCCTGTGTTCCAAGGAGCTGGAAGGAATGCTGGGAAGCCCCAGCGCTTCCACACCCCCAGGCTGGGTTCTCCCTCGGGTGGAGCAGTGAGTCTGTCCTCCAAGACAAACATGACTACCAGCCAGGGCTGCAGAAAAGACTGCACAGGTGTAAGTCCCAGCTCTCCCTCTCATTAACTGTCTTCAGACAAGTCATTATATTTCTTGGAGCCACAGTTTCCTTTGGTGAAAAAGATAACTAATTGTAACAGAAAAGAACAAATCTGACTCCACATTAGATCTGTTCCTTTGGCGCTTTACCCCTGTGCCCTGTTTTCTAGGCTTTGTCTTGCTAGCTCTGCACCTTTTGTAAAAGAATATTGTTGCCTTTAGCGTGAAATAGACAGGAGAGCCTATTCTCAAGGTTCCGACCTTTAAGCACTTATATAAAGATGGTAAGTTGCAAAATAGAAAATAACATTTGTTTTATTAGAGGTTTTACAGAGGCACCATGACCTGACCCACATGGACAGCTACAAGATCAAAGAATTCCTACACCAAGAAGTTTGCACCAACCAACCACACCTCCTCCCCTTTTTAAGTATAAAAGGAGCCTGAATTCTGATTTGAGTAGGATGGTTCTCCAAGACATTAGTCTGCCATCCTCTCGGTCTGCTGGCTCTCTGAATAAAGTCATTATTCCTTGCCCCAACACCTGTCACCTGATTTATTGGCCTGTCAGTGTGGCGAGCAGAACGAGTTTGGATTCGGTAACATAATAATAACAGTAACTTCCTAATAGGGTCATGATGAGAATTAAACTAAATAATAAAGCATTCAGCACAGCTACTGGCCCACAGTAAATCCTTCCAAATAGTCAGCAGTAAGAATTAACCATCCTTATTTCATTATTCAGGGAAATAGCCATTTTTCCATCACACACCCACACACACACAAACAAAGATCTCTACCTCAGACGCATGCCTTGCTTGTTTCCTACTATGCAAAAACTCATAGGAGGGAACTAAGCTCCAGGGGATGCTATGTGTTGGCAGGAACTTTCCAGAAAATTGGGTAACCTCAGTCAGCCCCCCTCCCCCAAAATGGTCAGGCTGAGAGGTCATCAGATGTAAGGGGGATTATCCCACAAAAACTGAAAACCAGAAGGTTCCATCTCCACTCAAGACAACCCAGGGAGGAGGCTAAGACCAAGCCTGAGCCATGTGAGGCAGCAGAAACGTTCAGAGAAACTTCTAGAAAAAGAGGCTGACTCTCCTGACAATGGCCATTCTCAGAAATAGTTCAAGGATATCCAGACGGGGACAGACCAAAGGAACCTAGGCCTGCTTGAGCTCCTCTGGCCAGACGAGGCTATGAGGCTCCCCTAAGGGTCCTGTGCCCACCCTCGGTCACCTGTGACAGCTGAATCCAGGGGCATCTCATGCAGCAGGGTGAGCGAGGAAAGGGTCCGCATCTGCACGGCACTGGCCTCCTGGGAGAGGGGCCCCACGGTGTCCAGCTCCACGCAGGACGCCTCCCTCAGCACGTCGGCCTGGAAACTCTGGAGGCAGGTCAGGTGGGAGGCCAGGCCCGGCTGCAGGACGATGTGGGGAAGAGGTGGCGGCTCAGGCTAGGCCTCGGATGTGACAGAAACCCCTTGGGGCCCCTGATACTGGCAGCAAGGGCCAAGGCTGGGGGCAACTCACTGGGGGCTAGAGCGGAGCTTCAGGACCTCCCTCTGCATAGAAGGAGGAGGAAGGAGAAAGGCCGAAGGAAGCAGGAAAGTGTAGGAAACAGTAACCCAAGGAGACCAACCACAGAATCTCCGTTGGAAAATATGACCAGAGACCCCTTGGTCCCCCATCAGCCTCTAGATGCTGGGACTTTGTTTAACACTGTTAATGTTGACAATGATCATCTCTTATCCTTGCTCAGATGCTTACTATTTACACAACACTTCCATCTGCAGGGAGCTAAGGACAGGAGGGGAGGAGGGAGGAGAGAAGAGAGAAGAGAGGGGAGAGAGAGGAGGGGAAGGGAGAGGAGTTGGGGAGAGAGAGGAGGAAGTGGGGGGAAGGGAAAGGGGAGAAGCAGCGGGAGGGAAGCTGGGCGCAGGCCCAGGAGCAGAGAAGCGGAGGAGGGGAGGGGTGCAGAGAGGAAAGAGACAAGGGAGGGACTAAGGAGAGAGGAGGGGAAGGAAGGCCGTTGAGGACACAGGATGGGGAGGGCGCCCGCCTAGCACTCACCTCCGCGGAGGGCAGAGTCTGGGAGCGCAGGGAGGAGCGCGCCCTGCGCAGGGAGCATCGCGCCAGGTCCTTGGTCTTGCGCAGCCTGGTTCCGCGTTGCTGGTATGTGGTGGGACACCTGCCCAGGATATCCTCCTGGGCAAGCGGGGCCCAATCAGCGTCCTGCTCCCCTCTCACTCCACCACCAACCCCACCCAGGCTCAGACCTCACCTCCTCGACGGTCTGGGGGTCTCGGGCACCCGGGTGACCCTGCAGGAGGCTCAGCACCGCGCGCTTCACGTTCAGCGCCCAGCGGGGCTCAGCAGGGCCGGGACACAGGCGGGCCACACGCCGCGCTTGCAGGACGAAGCGCAGCGGCACGCGGCCCAGGGCGGCGCTACGTGGTGGGGAGGGGGACGGGAGTCAGGGGCGACCCTTCCAAGATCCCAGGCCGCCTCTTCATTAACAGCATCCCTGCCCCTCGCGCCTGGCCCCTTCCCACAGGACAGTCCCATAAAAAGCACCCAGGTACCCCCACATCCCTCCAAATGGTCTTGCTTCCCCCCTCAGCTCAGCTCTCCAGCAATTTCTCAAACACAAGAGGCCGACGACTCCTGGGCTCAAAGCTGCTCCCAGCCTTGTCACCACTTAAAATGTACATGCACGCGCGTGAACCCAGAATGAAAAATAAACTGAGCTTCCATGGGCTTCCTGCACTACAAAGCTGCTCATTGGCCAGCCCACCAGGGAGGTACTTAGCAACCCTCCACTCACATTCTGGATGAGGAAACCTGAGGCTCAGAACTATAAAGTGACTTGTTCAGAACCACAGCTGGGATTCAAACCCAGGCAGGCTGGCCCTGGCATCACAGGTCTCAAACCCGAGATGGAAGTGACTTAGACTCCAGTACTGTGCACAGGAGGAAATGAAGCCAAGGGAGGAGGAGCTGCTGGAGGGGGTCACACAGCAAGTGTGGGAGGAGCTAGGACCAAATTCAGCCCAGTGCTTTTCCCACCATCCCTCACCTGACAGAAAGGGGCTTGCATCTGGTATCTGCCAGGTGAGGGGATGGGGACTTCGGGGCCTTTGTGCATGGGGGTAGAAGAGACAGGTGCCCCACGATGTAGGGGACACTGCCAGCCAGCAAGCAGAACCTTGAGAGACGCAAGTGTCCCTACTTGACCCTCCCCAGGAGGTCACTGCCCCCTCTCCAGCTCCAACTGCGGTCTGAGGGCCTGTTGGAGGCAGCTCCCTGGATCTCAGGCCTCTAGCTACAGGGAAAAGCTAAAGGCGCCCGCCCCTTCCAGAACAGCAAACGTCAGTCTGGTCTCTCAAGGAGCTGACAGCCCTGCCCACTGACTTAGCATTTGATGAGAAGCCCAGGACAATAGCTCTGGCTGCCCCCTCTGAGACGATCACCCTAAGCTTTTCAGCAGGGATCCATCTGCCCCTCGAAGGCATTCCCCCATTCCTATATTCCTGCACAAAGGCTTTATTTTTTAACAAATGAATTTGCAATAAAAAAGGAAGAGGAATCTGGAGATGGGCTTGTCTTCAGGCTGGGGGCTGGACTGAGCTTTGAGGCCACTGAGGCCACTGGCAGGGAGTCCTGGGAAACAGGCCAGATGGAGAATTCCAGGCTTGGCTGGGTCACAAAGGCGAGCTTAGCTTGGGAAGGGAGAAGCCATGGGTCTCAAGGAAAACCCCCATCTGGGCAGAGAGGGGGAGGAGAGAGAGGTTGGCTTCAGTGGGCGCCCAGTGTCTTCCAAAATGTTTTCAAGGGTGATGCCCAGAGGGTGCTGGGTAAACATAAAATCTGGACATGCTGGGGGTGACAGGCAGGAAAATATGGGGTAACTTCCTTCCAGCAGGTAAGGGAAGGACACCAGAGGCTATCTGGGGTCACTCAAGTCCCCCGTATCAGGACAGCTCCCAGGGGTCCTCATCCATGGTCTGGTCTGGGTGCTTACCCGGTCAAAACAAAGATGGAACTATCTTTGAACCTCAAGGTGACATCTTTCTGCTGTAGGGGGTCACCCTAATTGGGTTCTTCCAATACAGTTTGGTCCCCAGTTCCTGGCAGCCAGTGGAAGAAGGAACGGGGATCACATACCCGGTCCCACTGGGAGCATAGCCCAGCGTCTTACCTCAACCTCTCTGACTCCTTCAAAACTTCTGCCTTGGACCCCAGAATGGATGTCATCTGGAAGTTTTGGAGCTGAAGCAGAATGCACTGAGAATTGGTGACCTCTCCTGGGATATTCCAGGACCACACCAGCACCCCCACCACCCACAGAGCAGTTCTGCGGCCCAGCATGATACGTGGTTGGGGGCCCGGCAGAGAGGTCCATCCCTTGAGCCGAAGGGTCTAGTGTCGGGGTGGTAGATGCTGAGTATCTCCAGGCACCTCGGCTCCCCACTAAATGTATAGAAAGTTCTCTATGCCCCAGAAGGCCCTGCAAGTTTGAGTGAGATTCATATGGCTATGCAGTACAAACAAAGATAAGTTAGGATAAACAAGGTTTTACTGTACAGCACAGGAACTATATTCAATATCCTGTAGTAACTATAATGAAAAAGAATATGAAAAATGCTAACTAAAAATTGGCACTTGCCATCTGCCTCTACAAGGATTGGATCACGTTGGCACTTGCCTTCTAACTCTGCTTGGATTAAACCACAAGCTGCTGCATCCGCTGACCTCCAACACTCTCTGAGAGGAATTCAGGATGGAGATCAGGAACAAGGTGCTCTGTGTTCTGGGAAAACTGGCTCAACAGGGAGGTTCACACGTTACTCTCTCCCCAGAGGCCTCAGTTGCTGAATCTGAGATCCCTCAGAAATCTCGTCTCCATTTATCAAACTGGAAATTTAAGGGGCTGTGGCTTCCCCGTGGCTCTCCCCAGTGTCAACATGACCTCCTGGTTACCCCAGAGATACTCACCTGTAAGGCCATTTGGCAAGGGCCAAGCACATCGAGGGTGACCAAGCCTTGGAGGCCAACACCACTCCCCTCCACCTGGACCCCCTGCAGGCCGGTGCTGGTGTTGGTGGAGAAGTGATAGGTGTATCTGGTGCCCACGGGGAGGTGGGGATCAGCTGACCCTGCAGGGCAGACAGAGGGCGCAGTGTCACCTGGACAATCTGACACCCTCTAAGAACCAACCCCACCTGGACTATTTAGGCATCCTTGCTCCCACGTCTCTCGCTCATCTGGCTCATGAGCTGCCTGCTCCCAGCTCAAGGGACGGCTGGGTGGCTGCAGACCCCAAGAGAGCGAGGAAGAAAATAAAGATAATAACAAGTGATTAATAAATGTTACCCAGTGTTACTTGTGCTTGGCCCTCCCCTAAGAGATGTATACACGAGTTTCTCAGCCTCAGCAGTATTAATATTTTGGGGTGTATAACTCTATTGTGGGGGCTGTCCTGGACAGTGTAATGATGTTTAGCAGCATCTCCAGCCTCTACCCATTGATGCCAGTAGCACGCCCCAGTTTTGATAAGCAAACATGCCTCCAGACACTGCAGAATGTCCCTTGGGGGATGTTTGGGGGTGTGTGTAAAATCATCCTGCTTGAGAACCGTGGATCTATATTTACATAAACTCATTTAAGCCTCATTACAACTTTGAGGTGGGAACTCTTATTTTCTCCATTGTACAAGGTTGGGAACTGAGGCTCAGAGAGGCTAACTAACTTACTCAAGGATGCACAGCTGGGATCCAAACATTGGCAGTCTGATTCCTCACCTACTGCCTTGGTGGGTTGGGGAGACTGTCCTGATCTTTGCAGAGGACAGAGCTGTAGAGCTGGGCAGCCTTGGGGTACTGGCAGTAGTAGGGAGGAAGATCTGGGAAGATCTGATCTAGAGGGCACAGTCTGTTGATTCTCTAGCCTTCCATTTAGACCAGGGGACCAATTGCAAAACACCCCATCCATCTCCTGGGCTTGTGATTGATTTAGAGTATTCATGTTGATTTCTTTGTGCTCAAATACAACTATATCTCACATCCCCAAAATGCTTCTTTCTGAAGAATTTGCCCCCAGTTTCTCTCATCTACTCCACCCCAAGATGCAAACAGGATCACTTGGCTAAAGACTTTTACGTCACCTGGGGACCACAAGGTGTGAGGGGAAAGCCCCAGGGCCTTGGGGCTGGGATGGCTTAAGGCCATTTTAACCTGGATGTGCTATTTGCTTCTCTAAGTGCTGATAACTAGGTGACCCTTGCAGAACGGGCCTTGCTCCTCCCAACTGGCCTCTCTGCGAATGTGAACGAGGCCCTCCCAGGTTGTTCCTAGGGTCACACCTTGCCTGTAGTCAGTTTCACCTCCCCTATCCCCATCCCTCTCCCCACCTTGCCTTATCTCAGGTTCATGGTCACCAGAGATGTGATAAGGTCTATGGAGAGACTCACTCACCTGCGCACGAAGTCATGCAGGAGGCCGCCTGCCCCACCAGCAAGTCTGGACTTTCTGAAATCACAAATCAGATGGAACCAGGACAAGGCCAGGAAGAGCCATAGGACAGCCCCACCCCATGGGCCACTGACCTGCTTATAAAAGAGGACATTTAAGGGTCCAGGGGGTGAGGGGACAAAGAGAGATAATCCAGTTCTCCTCTCTCTCATGAGGCTGGCATTGGCCTCCCTTCCTCCCCTACATCCACTCCTCTCTGTCTTGGGTACCAGCACCACCATCCCCCCACTGCTCGAGCTAGTAACCTGGGAGTCATGTGTGTTTCCCCTCTTTTCCCTTATCATCACCCCAAGTCCCGTGTGTCAGCAAGTGCTGCGAATTCCATCAGGTCTCTATCCCTCCCTGCGTCCTTTCTCTCCATCCATGTGTCTCCATCTCCATGGCCATCACTCCAGACAAAGCCACATCTTCTCTTGCCTGGACAACTACAGTAGCCTCCTAACTCCCCGTGTCCAAAACCCATCCCCCACAATTATAGTTATCTTTAAAAAACCTAAGTCTGATCACACCACTCCCTGCTAACAGCTCCTAAGTCTCCCCCTCCTCCACCCCAACCCCCACACACTCATAATAAAATCCTTTGCATGAGAGCCAGCCTCTGTCTGCCCCTCCAGCTACATCTCACCCCACTCCTGCCCGTCAGCCATGCTGGTCCTTCTCCAGTTCAAGGCCTTTGCACATGCTGTTCCCTCCAGCCTGCACACTCTTCCTCCTGCTTTTCACATCCTAGGCTCCTAGGATGTCTCTCCCCAGTGGGGCCCTCCCTGACCACCCTATCCAGAGTAAGTCCTCACCTGTTAGTTACTATCTTGGCACCCTATTCTCTTCAAAATGCTTGTGAATTTTTAATGATTTAATTATTTGGTCATCTTATTCAAAACTGTATCCCCCAGCTCCTGAAAAAGTACCTGGTCCTCAGTAGAGACAGGAATGAATGAATGAATGAACGAAACTAACATTTATGCAGCATTTACCGTGTGCCAAGCACTGTTCCAAGCAATTTATACATTCAACTCCTTCAATCTCCTGACAATCCCCTGAGTAAAATGTGATTATTACTCCCATTTTACAGATCAAGACACCAAGGCACAGGGACCAAAGGCACACAGTTGGGAGTAGAGCCAGGGTTTGAACCCAGGCACCCTGAGTCCACAGCCTTAACCACTGCATTATTATGAATGAGTGAGTGAGAGTGAAGAAAAGAATGGACAAACCAACAAAGGCAAGACCAAGAGGCTGCAGCAGTAAAGAATGGTGTGTAGCTCAGCTCCCTGGGATGTCTTGTAATACCTCACTTACCCACCCTCTAAGCTGCAGAACAACCAGAGTATGAACAGAACAGGCCAGGGACCTCCTCCACCCGCTACCTCAGGCAGCTGAGGACACTCTGCCAGGGATCCCCAGACCTCCTCCCTGGGAAGCGCCAGCATCTCTTCCTCTGCCCATCCCAACCCTCTCCTGAAGCCTCCGCACTCCCACCTACCATCACTCCTCATTCGTCCTTCCTTCCAGCCCCTTACTTGGGACTTTCCTGGGTACCATCCACGCCCTCCCAGAACAGCCTTAGCCAAGGGTCCATCTGCCATCATTTTCATATGATGGCTTTTCACTAATACCATCTTTATCCTCAAAACCACCCTACTGTGCCTCAACTGGTAGTCATTACACATGCCAGCTGGTTTAATCCCTTAAAAAACAATAAGCTTTCCCCAAACGGGGAGGGGGTTGGGGGGTGGGAAGAGTGCATTTAATACCATTCCATATAAACCCTTTGGAACAATGGGCTGTGGTAGGGTATTTGGCAGGCCTTTTTTTCCCCTGAATATTTTGGCTCATCCAACAAAATGCTCTTTGCAATAAAGTAGAAAAAACACCAATGGATAAAACCACATCTCAAAGACATTTAACCCAATCGATGTCCCTTCCAACTTTCTTTCAATTATTTGATCACTTGGACCCTGGGCACCAAATTAAACACGTCTGTGCCTAATCGTTAAGCTCCCAGTTGTGCACAGATCCAGCATCCTGCTTGTCTACTTGACCCACAGCCTGCCGTGCCAACAGCCATGATGCCCGCAAGCCCTAGTCCACCAGGGGCTCCCAAAAGTAAAAGGTGGGTTCTGAGAACAGTCTTCTTGAACCAAGTCCCTTTCATTTCTCAAGCACTTAAACGTATATATCTAAAGTTTAAAAAAAAACTTTCAGAAAATCAAAGATCATTCAGTGATCTTCCTAAATAGATCAACCAAGGAGAGGAAAGCTAAGTGCTGGGCAGTAATAAACCTTTCCATCAGATCCTACTCACTTCTAGGGAAAAATCTGAAATAAACAAAAATTAATGTAATCTCTACAGCCCAGAAATGAGATTGAGCCTCATTTCAGCTTTCTAAGATGTCAGTGCTGATCTCCGTTCATTTATTTATCCAGCCAGCACAGATGCACTGAGCACCTTTTGTGTGAAGGGCAAACAGGTGCTGAAAATACAAGACAGCTGTGATCCGACCTGCACTGTCTGGGTGCGTTGCCTACCAGCCACATGTGGCTATTGGGTATCTGAAATGTGGCTGCTGTTAAGAAAATTTCCATTTTATGCAATTTTAATTAAATTTAAATTAAAAACTATACTCAAGTCAGTTATTGGAAAAATTTTAAGTATGTTTGAAACAACTTGGTCGATGAAAATATTTTCAACTCTAAATTTTAGGAAGTCTAAATACAGATCAAGTATGTGCAATGAAAATTTAACATCCAAATTGAAATATGCCCCAAGTATAAAGTACACACTGGATTTCAAAAAAACAGAAAATGTATCTTGTTAATACTTTTTATATCGATTGCATTTTCTAATAATATTTTGGATATACTGAGTTAAGTACAATATATTGTTTAATTTCACCTGCTTTTTAATTTTTTATAATTTTTTAATGTGGCTACTTGAAAATTTTAAATTACATATTGGCTTGCATGATATTTTTATTGGATGGCGCTGTACTGTACCCTCCTGCAGTAAGTAGACAACAAGTAAAAGTTCATTTGACATCATCATCCTGCAAAGAGGGTTGCTCAGTATCGTCAAGCAAAGCCTCCCACACCCCAGCAAACAGCTAAGCACCCCTGCACGCAGGCTCGGGGAGCCTGGAAGTCAGCGTGTCCTCACTCAGGATTTCAGATCCAGTCTCAGTTTCCAGAGGATGCTGGTGAAAGATGGGAGTGAGGGGTAAAGCATCCACCTGTGACCTCTCCCTCCTTCTCCCCCTGAAAGGCAAAACCAAGGAGGGCAGCGGAATGACAGGTAAACTGGCTATAACACACTGTCCCGAGTGGATCTGGCTGCCGCCCCTTCACCCCAGATAGGATAGGGTTACAGCTGCTTTACTTACTCCCTGAAGTCGCTGCCGCCAGCACCCAGAGCAGGACCAGACCAAGGAGCCCCATGGGCACAAGCACTGCCGCTGGCCCGAGGGAGCCCCACGCCACCAGCCTCTCTCCAGAGCGGCTTAGAGCGGCCCAGAAAGGGACCTTCTTTCCCAAAGGAGAAGGCTCCGCTTCAATCCACTCTCCCAGAGGAGGAGTGGGGGACGGGAAGGGGAGGAAGGGGCTTCCAGGGCAGAGACCGAGCCAATCAGAAGCCTCCAGTAAAGTTCTCAGCACCCCACCTCGGAGGGAGGGGGCTTCTGACCAATGAGGGGGAAAAAAATCCCTTTTCAGTCTAGGAAAATAAAAAGCTTTGCATCTTTAAGCCTTGTCAATGGAACTGGGGGCGGGGGCAGAAGGCAACAAGAATGGTTTGCCTTTTTTTGTGTGTGGTCTGATATACATAGCACAAAATCTTCCATCTTAACCCATTTAAAGAGGCAATTAGGCAGCACTGAATATACGCAAGACTTTGTGCAACCAACACCACCACCTAGTTCTGAGCTCTGATTTTTGGCCTGTCTTTCCCACATCTCTGGGTGGGCGAAGCAATGCTTCAGGCCCGGGACCTCCCTCCTGCACACACGTTAGGAGCCCAGCAGCGAAGGCCATCCTCTGGGAGGCTGGGAGTCTGCTCACACATGCTCAGTGTCCTCTCCCAGGCCCCCCCTCCACCTGTACCCTTTAATTTTTAGGCTCCAGGCAGCCAAGCTCCTCAACCACCACTTCTTTCAGCCCCCGCAGGCCTCGTGGACCAACCCTCCTCTTACACACCTGCTTCCCGCAACAAGTATGCTTTGCTATAAATCGCTTTATTGAGGTGTAATATATATCATACCATTCTCCCTTTTAAAGCACACGATTCAAAGGGTTTTAGTACCTTCACAGACTTGTGCAACCCACACAAGAACCAATTTTAGAACATTTTCATCACCACTAAAGACAACCCGTCCCCAATAAGCTGTCATTCCTCATTCCTGTTACCCCAGTCCCTGGTCTGCTTTCTGTCTCCATGGATTTGCCTCTTTGGGACATTTCATAGAAATAGAACCAGGCAACGTGTGGCCTGCTGGGTCTGGCTTCTTTCATGGAGCATCCTGTTTCCAAGGTTCAGCCATGCTGGGTGGCCTGTGGCCTTACTTCATCCCATTTTATAGCTGAATACTGTTCCACGGAATGGAGAAACTACATTTGTTTGTTCACTCATCCTGCGATCAACAGTTAAATGTAACGTTCTTAAAGTTAAAAGCAGACACACTTGACTGGTTGACACTGAGTTTGTATGGAAATCGTCACTTATGCTCTTAGACTTGGGCCCTTTTCTTTTATATTTTGCAACCAGAAATTCCACCTTGGCCTCCTCTATGCAAATACTTTCACTGGTGGAGCGTAGAAGCCCCCAACCCATTGGGCTGAAGATCTAAAAGGCCCTTCAGCTTACAGCTGCCTGGGGGCCCATGATGTGTAGCAGTGGTGGCGGGGGCTGGTGTTAAATGCTGAGAGGTAGAGCAGAAAATGACATCCCACAGGGCTGGCCTGGGGAGCTGGTGGCTAAAATTCTTCACGAGAGATGAAATGCACATGCAGGAGATGAGAAACCCACTTAGGAGTGCTCTGTTTCCGAGAAAGGAACTGCTATTGTGCTGGGGAATCACTGGGAGCAGTTTCTAAACAAGAGATTTCCCGGGGACTTCAAAGAACAGACAATAATGTTACTAGAAAACTCTATACTCGCAACTAGGAAATAAATAGATCCTGGAGACCTAATACACAGAACAGTGATTACAGGCAACAAACATTGAACTTGCTAGGAGACTAGATTTTAATTGCTCCCAACACTAGAAGAAATGATAATTATGTGATGCCAGAGAGGTGTTCACTAATGTCACGTTGGCAACTGTATTGCAATATAAATGTATCAAACTAATATGCTGTATGCCTTAAACTGACAGTGTCATATGTCAAATATATTTCAATTTTTAAAAAACTGTCCAGCAATCCCACTCCTGGGCATACGTCCAGAGAAAACTCTAATTCGAAAAGATACATGCACCCCAGTGCTCACTGGAGCACCATATACAACAGCCAAAAGATGGAAACAACCTAAATGTCCACTGAGAGATGAATGGATAAAGATGTGGTGTATATATTACACAGTGAAATACTAGTCAGCCATAGAAAAGAATGAAATAATGCCATTTGCAGCAACATGGAAGGACCTAGAGAATATCATGTTAAGTGAAGTCAAACAGAGAAAGACAAATAGCATATGATCTCACTTATATGTGGAGTCTAAAATATATATTCATAAAATTTTTATTTACAAACCAAAAATAAACTCACAGACATAGTAAACAAATTATGGTTACCAAAGGGGAAGGGGCTTGCGGGGGGAGGGATAAATTAGGGGTTTGGAATTACCAGATACACATTACTATATATAAAGTAGATAAACAGCAAGGACCTAGTGTATAGCAGAGGGAATTATATTCAATTTCTTATAATAACATAATGGAAAAGAATCTGAAAATATGTATGTATGTATATGTATAAATGAATCGCTTTGCTGTACACCTGAAACTAACATTGTAAATCAACTACACTTCAATAAAAAATTAAACTAAAAAAAAAATCAAAAAAATTTCTAAAAACTGTATCTTGTCCAGGGCAAAGCAATCTTTTTTTTTTTAAACATTTTTTTTAATTGAGTTATAGTCAGTTTACAATGTTGTGTCAAATTCTAGTGTAGAGCACAATTTTTCAGTTATACATGAACATACGTACATTCATTGTAGCAATCATTGAATATTAACTTATTCAATCAAACCTTCCTGCTGCCCCCTCCCACCAACAACAGCCTGCAAGGTTGAACTAGCAGTATCCCACTGTACCGATGAGGAAGGAGAGACACCGCGGCAGGGCTCCCGGCATCTCTGGCCTTGCTTCCCTGTGTCTGTATCAGTGCTGGACATAAACCTGATGCACTGATTGGATGGAGCATCAGGGACCAAGGACGACATGATTTTGCAGAGCTACAGCGAAAGATACTCCATGGTAGAGAAGAACTGACCAGTAGGGGGCGCAGTGGGCGCTTCTTACATGGGTGGAGGATTTCACGTGAGTTTATCCTTTATGAACCACTACTGCCAATTTTTCAAGACATTATGTTTCAGAGCAAGTTTAGGTTCACAGCAAAATTGACAGCAAGGCATAGACATTTCCCAAATATCCCCTGCCCTCCTGCATGCATAGCCTCCCCTATCGTCAACATCCCCCACCAATGTGGTACATTTGTTACCATTAATGAACCTACACTGACACATCATTATCACTCAAAGTCCATAGTTTACCATAGCATTCACTCTTGGTGTTGTACATTCTATGGCTTTGGACAAATGTATAATGACATATAGCCACCATTATAGCATCATACAGAGTATTTTCACTGCCCTAAAAATTCTCTGCCATCTTTCATCTCTCTCTCCCCCAGTGCCTGGCAACTATAGATCTTTTTTGTCTCCATAGCTTTGCCTTTTCCGGAATGCCATATAATTGGAATCACACAGTACGTAGCCTTCTCATATTGGCTTCTTTCATGTAGCAATGTGCATTTAAGATTCCTCTATGCCTTTTCATGGTTTGATAGCTCATTTCTCTTTAGAGCCAAATAATAGTCCATGGTCTGGATGTACCACAGTTTATTTATCTATTCACCTACAGAGGGACATCTTGGTCGCTTCTAAATTTTGGCAATTAGGAATAAAGCTGCTATAAACATCCATGTACAGGTTTTTGTGTGGACATAAGTTTTAATTCATTTGGGTAAACACTAAGGAGCACCCTGCTGGATCACATGGTAAGTATATAATTAGTTTTGTAAGAAACTGCCAAACTTTCTCCCAAAATAGCATCACACATCATTGGAAAGACAGATTAATAAGTGGACAAAGTATATGAGCATCCTGTTCATAATGCATAAATAGATTTTCATCAAATTAAAGGAGGCTCAACCTCAAGCATAAAAGAAATACAAAAAAAAGCAGCCACTCCATTCTGAGATATTTAACCAAACGTAAAGGAAGCACACATCCACGCAAAGACTTGGACGTGGATGTTCATAACAGCTTTGTTTGTAAAGCTCAAAACCAGAAACAACCCAAATGTCCATCAGTAGGTGAATGGGCAAACACATCATAGTACATCCATACAATGAAATACCGCTCAGCCATAGACAGAAACTATCTGTACATACGATGACATAGCTGAACCTCCAAATAATTATTCTGAAAGAAGCTGGAGGGATAAAAGTATGTACTATATGTCTCCATTTATAGAAGATTCTATAAACTAAAAATTCTAGAATGCAGATCACTGGTTGCATGGGGAGGTATGGGACGGGGAATTTACAGAGAATGAGGAAATTTGTGGGTAATAAATGTTTTCCTTATGTTGATTGTGATCATGGTTTTACAGGTATAAACATGTCAAAATGTATCACAGTGTATTCTTTAAATCTGTGTGGTTTGCTATATGTCAATTATACCTCAATAAACTTTTTAAAAAATCTGTCATGGGATATCCTGTTCATCTGCCAGATAGACAAAGAAAGCACTGTGCCAAATGGTCTTCTGGCTAAACTGTGGGGAAAGACGCATTCCATGCACTATGGTGGAGCAGAAATGGGCACAACCTTTGAGGAGGAAGTTTAGCAGCTGCTAAAATTTACATGCACTTATCTTTGACCCACTTCTGGAAAAGATACTTTTTTTTGTTAAAGGAATTTACCTAGTTTTCTATTGCTGTTACAACACATCCTCATGAGTTGAATGGCTTAAAACAACACCCATTTATGATCGCAAAGTCCTGGAGGTCAGAAGTCCAAGAGTAACATGGATCAGCTGCTTAGAACCTCACAGGCTGCAATCAAGCTGTGACTAGTTCCTGGTGGATCCTTGCAGGGAATTTTACAAGTTGACTGACAAACACATGTATTATCTCTCTTCCTCCTTTCTTTTCCATTTGCAATGGTGACCTAAAATATGCAACATGCTGCACCTTGCTTTTTTCCTTTAACAAAATGTCATAGGTCTGACTCAGCCTTTTCTACAGCTGCATACTACTCCACTGTGTGCCTCCATGTACTATTTATGTAATCCACTGAGGGCTGTGTTCCTTTCTGGAGGCTCTAGGGTTGGATCTGCTTCCAAGCCCATTTGGGTGGTTGGCTGGAATCAATTCCTTGTGGTTGGAGGACTGTGGTCTCTGTTTCCAGCCTGGAGCCTGGCTTTGCTCCCAGAGGCTGCCCACATTCCTTCTCAGCTTTCCTCCTGGCCCCTTACATGCTTCAAATATTCCCTTCCATTACATCTTTATCTGCAGTGGAGGGAGGAATTGGGTTTATTTATTTTTAATGGAGGTACTGAGGATTGAACCCAGGACCTCATGCATGCTAAGCATGTGCTCTATGACTGAGCTATACCCTCCCCACTTCCATTACATCTCTCTGCCTCCAGCCAAAGTTCTCTGCTTTTACCAGCACATGTGATAGATCAGGAGCATTAGTTGCCTGTACTTGCTGTGATAATAAGTTATCACAAACTGAGTGACTTAAA